AATAGTCAGAGACTCTTTTGAGGGGCTCCAAAATCACTACAGGTGGTGACTGCAGCCATGAAATTAAAAGACACATGCTCCTTGGGAAAAAAGCTATGACGAACATAGACAGCATATTAAAAAGTAGAGACATTACTTCGCCAACAAAGGTCTGTCTACTCAAAGCTATGGTTTTTCCAGTAGTCATGTATGGATGTGAGAGTTGGACTATAAAGAAAGCTGAGCGATGAAGAATTGATGCTTTTCAATTGTGGTATTGGAGAAGACTCTTGAGAGTCCCTTGGACTGCAAGGAGATCAAACCAGTCAATCCTAAAGGAAATCAGTCTTGAATATTCATTGAAAATACTGATGCTGAAGCTGAAACTACAGTACTTTGGCTACCTGATGCAAAGAACTGACTCATTGGAAAAGACCTTGATACTGGGAAAGATTGAAGGAAGGAGGAGAAGGGGATGACAGAGGATGAGATGGTTGGATGGTATCACCAACTTAATGGACATGAGTCTGAGCAAGCTTCTGGAGTTAATGATGGACAGGGACACCTGGTGTGCTGCAGTCCATGGGGTCTCAAAGAGTCGGACAAGACTGAGTGACTGAACTGAACTGAAGAACTTGGACAAGTCATTTAACCTTGCTTTGTATGTTTCCTTATAAAATCAGGCCATAATATCAGCACTGCCTGTGCCAAAAGCATTTTTGTGAGAATCAATCACAAGAACTCATAAAGAACTTTTGAAAAGGCACAAAACAGCAAATGGAAGGTATTATTATTGCATCCCTAATTACTAATTACAGATCCAATATCTAGGCTTTGAGTAAAAAAACAACAGCGACAGGGTGGAGTCTATATAATCCACCCTCTCTCTTGTGACCCAGGGGTTCCAGGCTTGGCTTAAGGAACAGCCAGGGAAGAATACCATTCAGAGTCGCTGTAAAAAAATACAACCCGTAATTGCAAGTCAATCATACACATGGCATGAGAGTTGGTGAGTTATTCATAAGAATGGAATACAGATAACAAGCTTGTATTTGTAGCACTTTCACTCTGAGGGAAAACTGTTTTGTTACTTGATTTTTTTTTTTTTTTAATGCAGGGGAAAATGAAGGGATGAAAGCAGCAGGTCGTGATATAGAAGCAAAGAAACAGCAGGAACTGAAGAAAAAAAGGCCCCAAGAAAGGTCTCTCTTCAAAGGCGAGCGTGTGACATCTGGGACCAGGCCAGGTTCTGGAACCCAGGGCTAGGACAGCAGGACAGGAAGGACTCCAACATTCCCAGCGGCCAAAGAGAGCCTTTGGGTTTTTAGGGCTCATCTGAAAGACACCCGCCACTAAATAGCCTGGTATTCAATTTATTCTCTGCAGAGGAATAAAAGGCTGAGTCAACGCTGCAAGGATGTGAACTTGGGTTCTGAGGGAGTCGGTGCCGATGGTTTTAAACACTAAACCGGCCCCTTCAGGCAGGGGAGCACCCTAGACTAAAGGACATGGAAAGCAGTCATCGCCTTTTAAAAAGAGTGTTTCTGTTTTCATTATCATTTAAGGCTGTAGTCAGTGTTGAATGATAATAAGAAACTGGCATGAGGAAAAAAACGCGCCCAAATCTCAGGCATACACAATAAAAACGCTATTATAGACTTTTGTGAATATAAATAGTTTTTAAAATGAGGCTGCTAAGACTGGCATCTTAGATGCTACCTGAAAAAGAGTCATGTTTATATATTCCAACAGTTGCACCCGTCCCTGGGCTCGGCTTTCCACTGCAGAATGGGCTGGGTAATTTTTGGAATAAATATCAAAGGGGCAAAGAAGGGAGACGAGGATCGAAGTGGAGGGAGCACAAAGGGCATAGAAAAATGACTTGATGCCCAACAGGAGAAAATTGAAGAGGACAAAGGGAAACGGAAAATAAAAAGGAATGAGGATGGGTTTACTCAGAGCCCCGTTGAATAATGCATCCTCAATCCAACCTAAGAACAGGCTTCATGTGGTGATTTTGTCCCTGCGTTTAGCCTTAACCCAGTCAGGGCATTGGTTTCTTTGCTTTCCCCCATTCTCGGATGAAGGTGTTGCTGTAATGAGTATTCAACAGGAACATAATAATGTCCCTGCTGGAATTTCTTCTTATGGAGTTACTCCCCCCATGAGTTCACAGATGTCAAGGGGGCCTAATTGAAGAGTGGGGAGGGGGAGGAGGCCCATATTGAGAATCCACTGTGGGAAATTCCCTGGCAGTCCGATGGTTGGGACTCTTAAGGGTTTGATCCCTGGTCGGGGAATTAGACTCACTCAGGCCTCAAAGAAGGCCACAATGAAAAAAGAAAGAAAGAAATTTCCTTGCAAAGGTCAAAGCTTGGTGTGAACAATGTAAAGTGAGCATCAGGAAAGGCTTTCTGACAGTGAGGAATGCTGCACCCTGGAAGCATAATAAAAGAGCTTGTTGAATTTCAGAGATGTGGGTCTTCCTGAAGGTGGAGATACAGACTAGAATAACCACTGCACATCTCTCACATCATTCAGGTACAAATCCTTACCCAACCAGGCAATGATGTGTGGAGTTTGGTCTGCTGAGTCTGAGACTGCTGACCGCTGTCTGGAGGAAGCAATGGGGGCATGGAGATCTACCAAGTGAGTTTCAGCGTCTACAATAAGTTCCATCCTCTTATTGGTGTTGAGCCCAGAGAGTGAGAGTAAAGAGACAGACACATGCAGATGAAAAGCACCATAGGGTAGTTGAGAATATGGCATCACAGCTGGGTCATTGCCATCTGGGTGCCCCGTGAGGACCTCAGGGCAGGACTCAAATCGGTCTGCTCTTCTTGTCGTCTCTCAGTGGACCGCCTGCCACACTTGGCTGATCTTTTAGCCCGCGGCACTACTGTTGTCCTAGCTTCCAGCTCCAAACCTAGAGCCATCCCTTCATGATGCCGTTGCTGTTCCTCCGCCTCCCCATTCATTGCAATCTGTCTGCCCTCAAGTCCTTCAAGAGCCTCCCTCATCTATCCCTTCTTTTCCATCCCCTCTGATCTACCAATTCACTTTCTGATCTACCCAAGTTGAAACCATTTCTCCTCTGTAGGAGCTTCCCTCCAGTCTCCTTCCTGCTCTCACCTCCTTCTCCTTTGAATAAACCATCCTGACATCATCTCCAGGTTGGTGTCTCAGTGTGTGACTTGGATCACACCATTCCTCTGCTTGAAAGCTTTCCAGGGGTCTCCATTGCTTATACAACGAAGCCCAGGATCGGGTAACCTGTCATTCAGCGAAAACCACCTTCCATTCTCTCATTGTCATGTGTCTGCTTGATGTTTTACCTTCTTCTCTGCTCACATTAAGTTCAGCCACTACCTCCACTGCTTGGCCATCCCGTGGCCTGAACTGAAAGACAATATACCTAGAATCTCTAAGTATATTTAGCAGCGCTCTTTCAAATACATGTCCATTTGGCAATTCATGGCTCACTACCTGTGGCATCTCATCTGTTTCACATGACATTGTTTTGCCTCTTTGTGTCTCCACTGCCTGATCAGTTTGAAAGCTCCTTGGTCTGCAAGCACTGTCCACGTCTTAACTTCCGCATGTGCCCTAATCAATTGCTATGAACAGAGTAGGTGCTCATTAAACACTTAGGAGAGGAAAACCTTAAGAGAATTCTTCTTCACAAAGGTCTTGAAAGTCAGCAGTCTGTTCTGGAAATTACAAAAAAGGACTGCCTTCCCAAAAAGCTTCAGCCCCAGTTGAGGCAACCCTCCACATGACCCACTGCATCTCACCTCCACGGTTCAACTCGGATTAAAAATTCAAGAGCTTCGCTGAAAACACCACCAGGAGGCAACACAGATGGAAGAGAGGAAATTCTGTCAAGGTCCCCGGATCTAACCCAATCACGGTATGGCTAATTTTGGCTCACGACCCAACAAGCCACACAGGTGGGGTTATGAGAACAGGCTCTGGCCAGAGCCGAACGACAGCACTTCTGGGACTCTGAGGGTGCACCAGGCTCGCCTGCATGCAGATTCAGACATACATAATCATCCTCGGCAGAATTTTAAAACTTTGTTCCCAAATAGCCCGTGGAATTGAATTTCTGATATCTGAGTGCATATATGGATATGCGTTTTCCATTACTTGTTTACGTAGATTATAAAACATCGTTGTAGAGGAGTCGCCAATTTATTAACAGGTTGCTCGCTTCACGTTCATTTGTTAGCTTTTTGGAACTCAGAACGCATTTTTCGCTGGAAGCATGAGTGAGCACAGCTCACTTAACCCATAACGCACTGTGCTTTAATACCACAAAGGTTTTCATTCTATTCATCAGAGGTTTGCAAACTCAAATGTCTGTAGTGGCTGGGGTGGAGTGGGGGGTGGACAGTCTAAATGAGGAGAGTCAGGTCTGGAGACCAGGGAATGAGGGAGACCCCTGTGCATGCCCCATCTAAATGAGCTCCCCATCGGCGCATGCTGGAGCCCCTCCCCAGCTCCAGCAGTGGCTGCCCTGGGAGAACAGGGGCCCAGTGCAGCACATCAGGAGAAGCCAAAACCAGAATCTTAAGCTGAAAATAGTTAGCACCTAATTAGAAAAATATCTATACACAGTATAGATGAAACAGACACATCTTCCTGCTGAGATTGCGCTCATGCTTACAACTGCCGCCTAATAATGTTGCTTCCTGGACGTCCCTGGTGGTCCAGTGGTTAAACTGCATTTCCACTGGAGAGGGTGTGAGTTCAATCCCTGGTGGGAAACTAAGAGCCCACATGCTGCACCGCACAGCCAGAAATAATAATAATGCTGCTTCTTTGAGAAAAAGACATTCATCTTAATGTCTACAAGCCAACAGGAAACTATTTTCTCTCATCCGCTGAAGTGGGTAGCTCTCCCTAGGTAGAGTCTTAGGTTAAGGCTCTACCTTGCATGATGGAAGGCTAATGTCTCTGGGGTTCTTAGAAGCCAAGGTTGCTATAGGGCCCCCTGGCCTAAAGCCTGAGCCCCACACCTGGCCCATCACTAAGTGTGAGGGCGGGACCTTTCCATCCCCTCCCAGTGTCAGGGTCGTTTGTTAACAGGTGTGTGTGTGTGAGTTGGGACCTGCCTGTGTTTCACTTTATGTTATGGTGGTGGTGGTTATATTGCTCTCTTATTTTGTCTGTTTGCTTGCTTTTACTGATTATAAATGCTATATGAGTTCACCATAGAAAACTTGGAAATTTTTCCCTCCTAGAAGTAATCACTGTTAATAATGATTTCCTTTTTTTTTTTTAATCTCTCCCTTTCTAATTTTCTTCACATTACATAGGTGTAGTGGGTTGAACGGTGGTGCCCTTCACTCCACTTCCCCCTAAAAAAGTTATGTCCACGTCTTAATCTCTGAAACCTATACATGTGACCTGACTTGGAAAAGGAGTCTTAAGGCTCTAGAGATGAGAATTTAGCCTGTGACACCACCGTTGTCCCAATTTCCAACGCCAAACCGAGAGTCATCCCTCCGGGATAGATTCTCCAGGTAGCTCCTAAATCCAGTGACAAATATCCTTAGAGGAGAGACACAGAGGAGACACACAGAAGAGGAGGAAGCGGTGTGACTGTGGAGGCAGAGCCATGAGGCCACAAGTCGAGGAATGCCAACAGCCTCCAGCCCTGGGAGAGGAAAGGGACAGATCCTCCCCTGCAGCCTTGGGAGGGAGCACGGTCATGCCAGACTTCGGACCTCTGGCCTCAAGAACTATGAAAGTAAATTTCTGTTTTGCTAATTTCGTGGTAATTTGTTGAGGCAGCCCTAGGAAAATAACACAACAATACATGAGCAAATGGATGTAATTAATTCAAACAATACAGGATTATGTAAAGTAAAAAAGAGTGATGATCTCTTACCTGCCACACAAATCCCTCTGTGCCCCCAATTAGTAGTAACTGTTGGTAATAACCCTTCAAGGTCTTTTCCTATGCATGTCACACACACACACACACACACACACACACACACAGACATATGCACATAAATATATTTATATGTCTGTTTTTTTAATAAGTGAAAGCATGACATTCTGTTATTTGTTCTTTTTAAAACTCAGTATTTCTGAGGGATATTTGCATGTCTGAACATAAAGATCTGCCTGATGCTTCTCAATGATTGCAGTATATGCTATGAACATAGCCTATGCCATTGTTTTCAATGATTCTAAACTTAGTAACAATATTACAATGATAAATCAAAGTTGAGTCTCTTCATTTGGCTACAAGTGAAGTTATTTCCCCCCTTTTCAATCTACATATTAAATATATATAGCATGTATATGTGTGTGAGAGAGAGAGAATTAGTACTGTTCACCAAATACTTCTGGATATCTTCTGCCCTTGGGATTGCGTGTGACCAAATAACTTGCTTTAGCTAGTGATCTAGTGGCTCGGCAGTGAGCAATCTGCCTGCACTTTAGAAGCCTGGGGTAGACGTGGGTTCAGTCCCTGGTAGGAAGATCCCTTGGAGAAGGAAGTGGTCACTCACGCCAGTATGCCTGCCAGAATAATCCCAGGGACAGAGGAGCCTGGCTCACTACAGTCCATGGGGCTGCAAAGGAGTCAGACACGACTAAGCACACACACACGCATGTAAAGCGGAAGTCACCGCTGCCATTTCCAGCTGGAATCTTTAAGAGCAACTCCACGACCATCTCATTCTTTTTCCCCTGCAAAGTGATTGCAGAAGTGCTAACAGGAGCCCCATCAGTCCAGGTCTCTTGGTGAGGTCCCTGGCAGTCCAGTGGTTACAGCTTCACGCTTTCACTGCTATGGGCATGGGCTCAGCACCTGGTCAGGGAACTAAGATCTCACAAGCCATATGGTGTGCCCCTCTTTCAAAACAACAACATTTGACACCCCAGAGTGGAGAGACAAATAGAGGGAGCAAAAAATAAAGCTTTGTGGTTTTAAATCACTGAGGTTTGAGGGTTGTTTATTACTGCAGCACAACCCAGCTAGTCATAACTGATTTTACATATACAATATGTATGTGATATATATACACATTTATATTTTTATATCTACATACATTTATATGTTTTCATATATATATGTATATATATATATCCTACCTTTCTAAAATTGGAGAAAGCTTAAAACAAGTGGTTTGAAAGAAAAATATGTGGTTTATTACAGCCTGCTCTGTATTAATCAATACAATTAACAATACACTGTACTTTCTGTTTACCCTTTTAACCCTTTTAACATTTTCACTAAGATGATGAGCTTAATGCTAGTGGAAATGAAACACCATGCTGTCAATATCAGGCATATGACAATGGCCATAAATAAACACCTATGCTGTTTGTATATGTGGGTCTGTGAGCTTGGTGTCTATCTCTATGCACCATTGTGCTCTGCATCTATTAATGAGGTTTCAGGCTCTTTTCTATGGTTTAATGTACATTTGCGATAACAGTGCTCCCAGGCTCAAAGAAGAGCCCGTCTCTCTTGCTTCTGGATAGGGGATTGGCAGGTGCTGTTCGCATTAGGGAGGGAGGAAGTGCTGTTCTCTGATCAACAGTGATGCCTCCAGCTGATTAAAGAACATTGTTTGTAGAACTGGAAGGGGATCAAAATGCCTTTAGTTCTCTAAGTCAGAAAAGACAAGGCCTTGAAGGCTAAAATGACAAACATAACAAGAGCCTTATGGTTTCAATGAAAGATATCCAAGATCCAAGCCTTTTCTCTCCTGGGTAGAAGAATATTTTTTAATGATCTCTCTTAAAATGTCAGATTTAATAGAAAAAAAAATGAAAAGAAAACCGCCCTGCTCTCCCCCACCAAAACACTGCAGTCAGAGAAGGTTTCTGAATCGTGGCTCTGACCACCTTCACAGTCCTACACAGAAGATGGGCAGCACATACCAGTAGCCTCCCACTCTCCCGGTTTTGATGACGGTGGCCAACCACACAATGAAAGACGCCTGTAATGATGGCGACATTTTAAATTTAAAATTCAAATATTCAAAAATGCCAAGGGCTCCTATCACCTGTCACAGTGAGATTTTAAGAGAGGATCCTAATCTGGGAGCGGGGGTGAGGGGGTGGATATAGCATCATTCCTCTGAAGCAACTAAAAGGGGTAAAACAAAAGGAGATGGTTCTACCCACCAGATCCCGTTCCAAGATGCCCTCTGCGAGATGATCCTGTGTTAGCAAAGGGGGCTGGGCTCTATGCAATGATTCCTTAGTAGATTCTGGGTCCCATGTAAATCAGTGCTACTTAAGATTAATAGAGGTACATCCCAGCTGGTCCAGTGGCTGGGACTCTGTGCTTGAATGCAGGGGGCCTGGGTTCGATCCTTGGTTAAGGAACTAGATCCCACATGATGCAGCTAAAGATCCCATGTGCCACACAAGGACCCAGTGCAGCCAAATAAATAAACACTTCTTTAAAAACATTAATAGAATGTGGGTTTGTATTGGTGGAGTTTTCTCCTCCTTAGCTTGAATTAACCAAAGCAGCATTATCTATCATTCATTTACTTTCATTTAGCCTCTGGATTACTAGCTTGGTTTTCTCATTTCTTTTTTTAAGAGAGTCATTTATGCTGCTCTCAGAAACTTAATAAATACTATGGTTTTAAGTATAATTTATTGAGTTCAAATGTTTGTTTTAGAGCATTATGGTAGTGCTATGGTCTGAATGTGTCCCCCCAACAAAATTCATATGCTGCCATCATAACCCCCAAAGATGATGGTATTAATAGGTTGGACCTTTGGGAGTTGCTTAAATCATGAGGTGGAGCCTTCATGACTGGAATTAGTGCCTTAAAAAAGAGGCTCTGAAAAAAAAGAAGGTCTGTGTTAGAGAGTGTTTGGAGAAAAAGGAACCCTCTCACACTGTTGGTGGGAATGCAAACTAGTACAGTCACCATGGAGGACAGTGTGTAGCTTCCTTTAAAAACTGGAAATAGGACTGCCATACAACCCAGCAATCCCACTGCTGGGCATTCACACCGAGGAAACCAGAATTGAAAGAGACACGTGTACCCCAGTGTTCACTGCAGCACTGTTTACTATAGCCAGGACGTGGAAGCAACCTAGAGGTAGCAAACGAATGGATAAGGTATTTGTGGTACATATACACGGTGGAGTACTACTCAGCTATAGAAAAGAACACATTTGAGTCAGTTCTAATGAGGTGGATGAAACTGGAACCTATTATACAGAGTGAAGTAAGTTAGAGAAACACCAATACAGTATATTGACGCATATATATGGAATTTAGAAAGACAGTAATGACAACCCTATATGCAAAACAGCAAAAGAGACACGGATGTAAAGAACAGACTTTTGAACTATGTGGGAGAAGGCGAGGGTGGGATGATTTGAGAGAATATCATTGAAACATGTATATTACCATATGTAAAATAGATGAACAGCGCAAGTTCGATGCATGAAGCAGGGCCCTCAAAGCCAGTGCTCTGGGACAACCCGGAGGGATGGGGTGGAGAGGGAGGTGGGAGGGGGCTTCAGGATGGGGGGGCACATGTGCACCCGTGGCTGACTCACATCGATGTATGGCAAAACCCACAATATTGTAAGGTAATTAGTCTCCAATTAGAATTAATTAATTAATTAATTGAAAATAAAAATAAATTTTAAAAGAAAGAAAAAAAGGGGGGCTCTGGAGAGATCTGTAGCCCCTTCTGCCATATGAGGATTCAAAGAGAAGTCTGAAACCCAGAAGAGGGTCCCCACTCAACCATGCTACCACCCTGATCTCCAAGTTCCAGCCTCCAAAACCATGAGAAATAAACTTCTGTTGCTTACAGACTACCCAGTCTGTAGTATTTTGTTACAGCAACCTGAACAGACTAGGACAGATAGGCAGCATTCTGAGATGGTCCCAGGATTCCTGTGCTCCTGTGTACACACACTTCCACAGGCTACTCAGTCAAACACGAACCTGTGCTACTGTGAAGGGATCCTGCAAATGCAATTAAATTCTCCAATCAGTTGACCTTAAAATAGAAGATTATCCTCCGTGGTTCTCAAAGGAACTGGGTTCTCCTGGTGAAAAAGATATGAAGTGTAAAAGGGCCTACGGAGGGGGTACATGGGTGGCCTCCTAACATCCTCCTCTGCTTAGAATCCTGCCTAACATCCAACAAGAGAAGAGGGGCTAGTCCTACAGCTGCTAGGAACTGAATTCTGCTAACAACCATGTGAGCTTGAAAGAAGACCTCGAGCTCCCAAAATGAATCAGCCCAGCTGACATTCTGATTTCAGTCTTGTGAGATCCTGAGCCAAGAACCTAATTAGGCCATGCCCAGGCTTCTGACTCCAGAAACTGGGAGGTAATAAACGAGGTTTTGAGGCCTTCCCTGGTGGTCCAGTGGTTAAGAGTCTGCCTTAATGTAGGAAACATGGGTTCAATCCCTGGTTGGGGAGCTAAGATCCTACATGGTGCAGGGTAACTAAGCCTGCACACGGTAACTAACGAGACCACACGCCACAACAAAGTTCCCATGTGCCGAAACTAAGACCCAACACAGCCAAATAAATAGTTGCAACTTTAAAAAATAATAAAATAAATAAATAAATAAATGAGTGAAGCTGCTAAATTTTCGTGGGAATTCATTATACCGCAATAGAAACCTAAAACAAACAGACATAGGCCTTGCTCTGGCCTAAATTGTAAAAACAAAGTCAAGTATAACTTAATTTTAACTTTAATCCAATGAAATAACTATACCATGACTGATACTTCAATGGTAATAATAATCCTACAAAATGGGTGAAAGCAATTTCATCAAATAACAATACAAAAAAATTAAAATGACAAATAGTAATGTTCCTCTATTTGCCTGATAAATAGCTGTCCACATAA